ATATATATATATATATACATACATACATATCTATAATGAGTGATAATGATAGTGTGCAGAAGAAAGAATAAATCTCAATAGTTTAGTCAGAATTACAGATGTAACTTAGATGACCCCTGAAGGGGGGGGGGGTTAAACACGCGTGTGTGCAGTATCATACATGAGCATCAGGCGTCTGAGTGCATGCTCACACCTGCAACTGCCGGCACGCCATAACCTGGCGTCCGTTATATTCTGGGTCCAATCGGGCCGCCGGCCACGGAGCACCACACGGCGCCGCGACCGGGGCCCCGGACCGGGCAAACGGCGAGCAAACGGGGTCCAAACGGTGAGCAAACGGCGTGCAAACGGCGTGCAAACGGCGAGCAAACGGGGTCCAAACGGCGAGCAAACGGCGTCCAAACGGCGAGCAGACGGCGTGCAAACGGCGAGCAAACGGCCTGCAAACGGCCTGCAAACGGCGAGCAAACGGCGAGCAAGCGGCGTGCAAACGGCGTGCAGGCGGCATCCAAACTGCGTCCAAACGGCGAGCAAACGGCATCCAAACGGCGAGCAGACGGCGTCCAAACGGCGAGCAAATGGTGGCGGCGACTCACCCTGATCCCCGGGATGTAGTCGCCGCGGCGATAGTAGTCGGTGCTGGCGGCGGCGCGCTCCACCGAGGTGCCCATGCCGTACTGGTTGTTCTCACACACGAAGATGCAGGGCAGCTTCCACAGGGCGGCCATGTTGAAGGCCTCGAAGATCTGACCCTGGCAGGGGTCACATGACCAGAGTCAGTCAAAGGGGTCACATGATCAGCATCAATTAGTGCAGTGTTTTTCAACCACTTGTCCTCGGTACACTAGTGTGGTGTTAGTGATGGTCAGGTGTTTCGTAGAAAATCATCCTATTTCACCTAATTGGTCTAAAAAGATTTTTTTGATAAGGAATTAATCATCTGCAAATAATATTCCATTTTTGAGTGTCTGTGCTGTTCTAGTGACTGGTGGCGTAATCATGTAACAATTCCTTATGACTAGATTTAATATTTAATTTTATATATTGAAGTGGACATGTTAAGAGCAATTTGAAAGAAGAAATATAAAATATGATAAATACATTTTTGTGTTTATTTGATTCCTATTCAAGACACTTAAGATAAGATAAGAATAAGATAAGAATAACTATAGTGTTACTATAGGCGACTACAGATTTGTTTAACATTTTTGGTTGGTGGTGTGCCTCGTGATTTTTTCAATGAAAAAATGTACCGTGGCTCAAAAAAGGTTGAAAAACACTGAGTTAGAGGTCACATGATCAGAATTCCAGAAGTCACAGGACCAGAATCAGTGCGGTCACATGACCAAAATGACTACCAGCGGTCACATGACCACAATCAATCAGAGAAGTCACATGAACAGCATGGCTTCCAGAGGTCACAGCTTCCAGTCCGACCCCCTGACCAACCGGAGTCCCTCTCACCTGCTTGCGCCCGTCTGTAAGCTGTGATTGGCCGACAGGCAGAAAACCGCCTCACCTGATTGGCCGCTCCGTCCCCGTACAGCGTCACGCACACCTGGTCGTTGCCCTGGTACTGGCAGGCCAGAGCAATCCCCGCCCCCAACGGCACCTGGACAGATATCCGGGTCAGCCCAACTGAGCAGAAGACGGGGGGGATCCCGCCGCCATCACATCACCTGCTCGCCATATGCCGCCATTTTCCCGCTTACCTGGGCGCCCACGATGCCGTTCCCGCCATAGAAATGTGGCGCGTACATGTGCATGGAGCCTCCCTTCCCTTTGGCCACGCCCCCTTTGCGACCTGAGGAGAGGCAGGTGAAAGGTCAGGACGGACACACACACACACACACACACATTCTTGTTAGTACATCAGACTGAGGACCAAGTAAAAGACTTACAAACTGAGGACCAGTACTTCTGAGCATCTTAGAAAGAGTGAGTTTTCAAATTTTCCCACTAGGTGTCACACACACAAACACAACCCCACACACACAATAAAGTGAGGACCAGGAAAATGTTGTCACTTTCAAAAAAAGACCTCACTTTGTTGGTTAAAAACTAGTTATGGTTCTCACTGATGCAGGGACACACACACACACACACACACACACGCACGCACACCTTTGAGCTTCTGTGCAGTTGCCGTATAGAATTAGAAATATATCCTGTCTTTGTCTTTACTATCAGTGTCGGGGCTTCCTTTGGTTTTTGCTGCCTGTTTGTGTGTGTCTCTTTCTTGTGTCTATGTGCTTCTACAGGTTCTCCCCCGGGTTTGTCTGCAGTATTATTTTGCCGTTAGTGTTTGTTAATGTGTGTGTTTGTTTGCAGGTTCTCTCTCGTGTTTGCCCACGGTGACTACAGGACATCTTTCTACAGCACATATGTCAAAGTCAATTAAATTTTACTATTTGAAAGCCGTGATCGGTAGATCATAGAGCAGCACAATAATACATTTTCAGTTTAGAATGCATGTACTTTTATTTATGCATTTATCTTGATATTAAGAAACAAATTTTGTTTTTAAAAACAATTTAATTTTCGGCTGTTTGGCTGTTGAAAATGTTTTGCCAAAATATTGCCATATTCATTTAATCATTGTGAATATGCGTGAATACACTGTGTTAGGTCTTGGTTCAATAGTCTATGTGCAATCGTTTCGATATGTTTTAATAAACATTGAACCAGTCCGGCCCTCGGCTTGTAGCAAATTTGTTTTTTTGGCCCTCGGTTTGTTTCACTTTGACATCCCTGTTCTACAGATACAGCAGCTGGATGGATGCTTTTGTTGTCTCTTTCCTTTTTTCTCTCCTCTCTTCCCGTTTTAGGAGTCTCTTCCTTTTTTCCCCTTTCCTGTCCCCCCGGTCATGTTTGGCATTAGCCATATTACTTATGTGAAAAAATTAAACCCTAAATATATAATAAAGCAGTATGGGATGATCATGGGAGGGTTCTCACCCTGACAGGCCTCCCTGGGCAAAGCAAAAGTTTTGGGCACACCACGGCACTCAGATTAAAACTCTATTGCCATAATGTTAAACACGACAAGGGGAAAAAAAAGAAAAATAAAGGTCAGAACCAGACGCTCACCGGTGAGCTCGGCCATGATCTCCCTGACCGGCACGCCGCGGGTGAAGGTGTATCCGTGCGCCCGGTAGGCCGTGATCAGGTGGTCAGACGGCGTGATGGCGGCCTCGATGCCGGCGGCGCACGCCTCCTGTGGGCGGAGCCTGAGCGTTAGCCACTTTAAGGGTTAGGCACTTTAAGGGTTAGGCACTTTAAGGGTTAGCACACGCGTTAGCACACGTTTAAAACAAACAGCGCCATGACAACACAAAGAACTGATCCAGGATCAGAGTGTGTTTTTAGAGTCGAAGAAAACAAATTGTGCAACTACATTTTTTTCCTCTACATCCAAAAGAAATGGGGATAAAAAAAAATCCTTTTTTTTTTTTTTTTTTTTTTAAATTAGATAAAAATAAAAAAAAGTTTTTTAAAAACTAGTGTCATGGCGCTGTTTGTTTTAAACGTGT